GGCTGGCTGGCTGGCACGAGTGGCTGCCTATCTGCTTGGCCCTGGCACCAAGCCACCATGCCAGTTTTCCTCCCTACTCAGAGCACCCCCTTCTTTCTCCAGGTTTGGCCCTCGCTTCCCTGCTCTTTCGGATGCGTATGACAGCCAGATCCGCACTTTGGCCATGGACACAGCCCGGCGCCTTGGCTACAGCTCTTTCGTCAAAGAGGGGGTGTACTGCATGGTCGGGGGCCCCAGTTTCGAATCGATCGCAGAGGCCCGGCTCCTTCACGTGCTGGGGGCGGACGCTGTGGGTAAGAGCTGGAAGGAAGCTGCGTCTCTTCGCGTCCAGTAACCCTTGCCCTTGTTCTGACCCGCTAAATTGCCTTCTTCCCTATGGCCAGCCTTTGCCAACCTGGTACCCTCCAGATGTTCTGGACTACAACTCCCATCAGTCCCAGCCAGAGGCCAAAACCTCTGGAGAGCACCAGGTTGGCAAAGCCTGCCATGGGCTTTATGCATCTTGTTTTTAGCACTAATTTGGTTGCAAAGTTTTATTATTTTGCAGTTAATAATAATAATAATAAATTTTATTTATACCATGCCCTCCCAGGCCAAAGCTGGACTCAGGGCGGCTAACACCAATAAAATCACAGTAAAAACATAATAGGGGGGGAGAAGGGGGGGGACCCATTTAAAATACAGGTTAAAATGCAATTTAAAATGCAGCCTCATTTTAAAGTAGCCGATAAATCAAGACCAGAAGGGGAGGGAAACATAAGGGTCAGACCGAGGCCAAACCAAAGGCCAGGTGGAACAGCTCTGTCTTGCAGGCCCTGCGGAAAGACGTCAAGTCCCGCAGGACCCTAGTGTCTTGTGACACAGCGTTCCACCAAGTCGGGGCCAGTACTGAAAAGGCCCTGGCCCTAGTTGAGACCAATCTAACCTCCTTGAGGCTTGGGGCCTCCAAAGTGTTGTTATTTGTGGACCTTAAGGTCCTTCACGGGGCATACCAGGAAAGGCGGTCCCAAAAGTATGTGGGTCCTAGGCCTAGTTACCATGGAGGGGGGATTTTTTAGCAAGCGCCTGCACTCATTAATTCTACAGGTTACCCCCCACTACACGAATCCCACTTGCATGCAACTGAATTTACATGGGTCACCACAAAATAGATAGATTGGCCTTCCTTTGCTTGGGGCCTGGAATGTAACCCCCACATAACTGGGAAGCAGGGATGCTTGTATTTGCGAAAAAAAATAACTTCTAGAGAGTACCTGATCTCAGACAACTGCACCACAGGAAAGATGCATCTGGGTTGCTCGGGGGCAAAGAGAGGGCGAACTAGAGATTCTAAGGACTGCTAGAAAATAAGATAGAAGTGCACTGAAGGGGAGGAGAAACCAGACGCTTTATAGGACCTCAGGTTTTTATTGCCTGGTGTCCAAACAACTCATTTAACCATCAATCACAGCTCTGACTTCACTCATTGGCTAAAATCACTGATAGGCGGGAGCATCCAGGCTGGCTCATTTAACAAGAATCGCTTAGACATGTACCTGGGCATTTAGCTTCATATCTTTCTTTGCAAGAGAGCTAAATATTTCCTTTAACAAAATATGAAAGTTCTGAGTATGAAGTCTTTGCCGAGGGGGCCAATGGCACCAGGCTGACAACTCCTGAGCCAAACTCTTCTTATGCAGAGGTGTAACTTGTTGTTGTGAGTCCTGCACCAAGCTTACATGAGATTGTGCTGTTGCAGGAATTTTTGTATTGGTGGGGGGGGGTTGCCCCTCCAGCAGATATCATGCACTTGCAGCCCGCTACCAAAATCAGCACAATCGCTTTTGTGACTTTTGTGATTTGTCCCCGCAAAACACTTCATCACAGTTTCTTCCTATCTATTCAAAGGGCCTCTGCAGCAGAATACCAAATGTAAGAATTCGCTGATAAATGTATCTATGTACTGGCTCACTGGAAAAACTTCAGAAATTCATATAGACATGTGAGCTTAGCTGCTCAGCAGCCCCTCTGCCTGAGTGATAATCCCTGGCATCCTGATACCTGAGTGCCAGACAGGTAGCCATTCCAGAAATAACAAACCCAGATGAAGACAAAAAGGGTGTGATTAACTTGGCTGGGAAACAGTGAAATGTAAAGGTCTCTTTTGTTACACTTGATGGGTGTTTGGTGGAGGGCAAGGGGAACCATGGGGCAGGGTCCAGGATGCTCAGATTACTGCCACCAGACCTCCCCTTTCGTGATGTAACTGTGATGTAGTTTGGGGGGGGTAACATGGGGATTAGCAGCTGATAAAAGTTTGGGGGCTCTTTTGTTTGGGGCTTCCATCTTGTTCCACCTTGAGGCAGGTGGGAGGACAGTCTTCAATAAAGACCAAGCCTACCGGCTGCTGTTTTGCTCTGGTATTCCTGGCTGGTGTCCTTGTTTTTTGTCCAAGGGAGCCCTCAGATTTCTCTGTTAACAGCGCCCTGCTTCCTTTTAGGGATGAGCACGGCAGCAGAAGTCGTTGTGGCCAGGCACTGTGGCTTGCGGGTCTTTGGTATCTCGCTGATCACCAACAAGGTGACCAAGGACTATAGCACGAAAGAGAACGTCGACCATCACGAGGTGCTCGAAGTGAGCCGGAGAAGAGCTTCCACGCTCCAGGCGCTCATCACAGCCCTGGTGGGCAGGCTGGACTCTTGCAGCAGTGGCAGTGGCCAGAAGGATGGCGAGACCTATCAGAATGGAGTCTAAAAACGCCAGGCGTCAGCTGTGGACCCAGGAGTGTGCTGGCAGCAAGGGGAGAGCCGCCCGCTCCACATCGTATACTCCAAACAAAATCTGGACTGAGAATCCAAAACTTTGACCAAGCCTGTCTCAATCAAATCACCAGCCTCTGCCAAGCTAGTGCCCTCCAAATGTTTTGGACGGCAGCTCCCAGGTCTGGCAGTCCAAAATATCTGGTGGGCACCAGGTTGGCAAAGGCACCTTGACACCAACCCTGCAGGTGTCTTAATTCTTTATTGTAAGCTGGCCTGTCCCTTGTTAGCCCCGCAAAGCCCACTGAGCCTGGGCAAGCCAGCGGTGGTACATTGATGAGAGTGTTGGACTAGGACCCGGGACAGACCCAGATTCAAATCCCCACTTGGCCATGAAGCTCACTGGGTGACCTTGGGCCAGTCACTGCCGTTCAGCCCACCTTACCTCGCAGGGTTGTTTTTGCTGTGAGGATAAAATGGGGAGCAACGGCAAACATATACATAATATTGAGCTCTTTGGAGAAAAGGTGGGATATAAAGGTAATAAACAAACTGTCTCTATCAACTGCTCTGTGCTATCCTGGAGGAATAAATATTGTAAAAATGTACATGGGATTTAAAAGCTAACACAATACACCATGCTAATCTTTGAGTGGAGCGAGGTTCCAGGGGTTTTAGACTGCAACCTTCCCTGGCCTCCCCAGGTCAGTCACAGCCAACTCTGAAACTCAATTTTTTTTAAAGAGATATTTATTAAGGTTTTACACAAAACGTAAGTTTACACAAAACATAAGTTTACAAAATAGCGTTTACGAAAATCATAAATTACAAAGTAGAAAAGATTTAAAACAAAACTTAACATACTAAAAAGAGGGGGGGAAACACACACAAAAAAACCTATAAAAGAGAAAAAGAAGTTAATAGCTAAATAAAAAAGAGAGAAAAAAATATTTAAAGTTAAAATCCATCTTTCAATAGTCTTTCAGCTCATTTCCTTATTTCTTTGACCTCCTCACACCTCCCCTTTTGTATTCCCGTTTAAAAATCCTTTCAGCAAATCCTTACCCTCTATCATTTGTCTTTACTCAGTATCTTAACCTATTATAACTATGTATTTTTAACCATTATCACTCCATATTTACATATTCTTGATAATCTTTATACCAATACCACTTAATTTTAATCCAACATCATTTTAGCATTCGTTAATTTTACAGTATTTCTGCAAGTAGTCTTTAAATTTCTTCCAATCTTCTTCCACCAACTCTTCTCCCTGGTCATGGATTCTGCCAGTCATTTCTGCCAATTCCATGTAGTCCATCACTTTCATCTGCCATTCTTCCAGTGTGGGTAAATCCTGTGTCTTCCAATACTTTGCAATCAGTATTCTTGCTGCTGTTGTTGCATACAACTCTGAAACTCTAATTCAAACTCCTTTGTCTTCCAAGTGAACTCTGAGTTGAGGAAGGGCCCCTCCTTTTTGCATCTGGCACAAAGTTCCCTCTCTTTGGCTTTCCTAATGGCTCATTGCCTTCCCTTTGTCTTTCTTAATAGCTCGTCTTTCAGGCAATTTCCAGGCTAGCCTGGCTATTCCAGCATTAGAATCTGTGCTGGATCCAGGAATTAGAAGCGGGGTCCAAGCATTAACCCTAACCCCACAAACCTGGGAACTGCCATTCTAGGTGGCATTACAACTGGGGGGATCCCTTTATTCTCAGTGTCTTGTTTTTAAAAATGCAAAAGAAACGAGTCTCTTGTTGTGGGAGGGCAGGTGGAGGTGGCAACTATGGGAATTAAACCACATTCAATTCAGTGGGCCCCCTGAGCCTTGAAAAAAACCAGGAGCCTTGGGGACATATTATTAAGTTTCAATATCACCCTTCACCCGAGGATCACAGGGTGATTTACGATATAAAAACACACAAATACATAACATAGTAACAAACAAGAGCAATTATCTCCTGGGAAAAAAAACCACACACACACACAGAGAGTGAGTTTAGAAGGCCATAGTTTTATTTGCCAATACAGTGCACTATGTGGGACATGGGCAAGGCCCAAGCAGCTCATTGGGGGAGCACCGGCCTGGCATGCAAAAGGTCCCATGTTTAATCGTCAGCATCTTATGGTGGGTCCGACTTGAACCCTGCGATCCTCATCAGAGGCCTTTCTTCATGTGCTTCCTCCACAAGAGGTCTGGAGGGCAGCAATAGGAACGGGGCCTTTTCTGCAGTGGCTCCCCATTTGTGGGATGCTCTCCCCAGGGAAACTCACCAGGCACTTTTGTTACATATCTTTAGGCTCCAGGCAAAAACATCCCTCTTCTCCCAGGCATTCAACTTATTAATGTCCTATGGTTTTTTAAATGTGGTTTTTGGGGGGTGAGGTGATCAGTTTGATTCTGTTTTGTGTTCTCATTTTTTATTTTTATATTGCGAATTACCCTGTGATCTTTGGATGAAGGGTGGTATACAAATTTAATAAAAAGCAATAATCATGCTGTGCAGGAAAGGCTCCTGTATCACAACGGCAATAAATTAATTTAACGCTGAGCAAAAAAACACACTTAATTCAGCATCTCGCACACTCTGCATGGAGCTCCAGGTGCGACGGACAAGGCTCCCTGTCTGTAAATCTGGACGGCTGCTGCCAGTCCGTGTAGGCAATGTTGTTGTTTAGTCGTGTCCCCGTGGACCAGAGCATGCCAGGCACTCGTGTCTTCCACTGCCTCCTGCAGTTTGATCAATCTCATGTCAAGAACACTGTCCAACCATCTCGTCCTCTGTCGTCCCCTTCTCCTTGTGCCCTCCATCTTTCCCAGCATCAAGGTCTTTTCCAGGGAGTCTTCCCTTCTCATGAGGTGGCCAAAGTATTGGAGCCTCAGCTTCAGGATCTGTCTTTCCAGTGAGCACTCAGGGCTGATTTCCTTTAGAATGGAGAGGTTTGGTCTTCTTGCAGTCCATGGGACTCTCAAGAGTCTCCTCCAGCACCAGAATTCAAAAGCATCCATTCTTCGGCGATCAGCCTTCTTTATGGCCCAGCTCTCACTTCCATACATCACTACTGGGAAAACCATAGCTTTAACTATACGGACCTTTGTTGGCAAGGTGATGTCTCTGCTTTTTAAGATGCTGTCTATACAGAGCTAAATTGAGCAGCAGCCTGACTCAACATAGAGCAGCTTTCTACCTAACGGGGTGGGGAAATATGGGGCTGAAACTTAAGAAGACAAGGCGTTTCCTTCGGTGCAATTTGCTTTGCAGAGGAGAGAGCGGGGAAATAGTCAAACCAACACACAATGAGGCGCTTTTACAGCGTCTGCAACCGGCCACACTATCTCGAGAAACGCACGTGTGCGAAAGGGCGATCGCGCATGCGCGGAATGCTGGAGGGCGGAGGCGTGGCCACTGCCGGGGCGGGGCTTTCCTTACTTCCAGGGACCGTCTATAAAGTATCCGATCCCGGGAGGCGCAGAATTCTGCGGGGAGCGCGAAAGAGGGAAGCCGAAATCTCAGGTACAGCATTAAATGCTTCCAAAGAGTTTGCTGGCAGGGAGGATGAGAAGGAGGAGGAGATCCTTTCCACGCCGGTAGCATTTTAGGGTGCGCAACGCTTCCGAGAGCGTGTGATACTTTGCGGACGGTCCCCCCGCTAGACTCATCCACCCCGGCTCGGCTTCCGTACTTCCCTCGGTTGCCATGGAGACGGCGGGCGGACGCGCAGGAGGATGGAGGCCTTCGCTGGTTGCTAGGAGACGCGGGAGGCTCGGGGAAAGCGCGACGGGGAGCGGCAGCAGGTAAAGGCCGCGTGGAGCCTCCTTGGCCAGGGGCAGTCTATCCTTGAGGGGGAGCGGCGCTGGCGGGAGACACGACTGGAGCCCGGCAGGGCAACGGGATCCAAAAGACCAAGAGAACAAGCGGGGAGGCTGCGCTTGGTCCCGAAAAGGGCCATTCAATATTTTATTATCTTATATTATATTTATTTTATTTTTAATATTTTATTTTTATTATTATTGTCATCATCGTCATAACCATTATTATTATTATTAAAATACTTTTATTAGTTTTCCATTTAAACATATATAATCACATCGTTATTAAGGTTCACATCAGATTGAGGCTGAATCCTGACAAGACAGAAGTGCTGTTTTTGGGAGACAGGGGGCGGGCAGGTGTGGAGGACTCCCTGGTCCTGAATGGGGTAACTGTGCCCCTGAAGGACCAGGTGCGCAGCCTGGGAGTCATTTTGGACTCACACCTGTCCATGGAGGCGCAGGTCAATTCTGTGTCCAGGGCAGCTCCATCTGGTACGCAGGATGAGACCCTCCCTGCCCACAGACTGCCTGTCTCGCCAGAGTGGTTCATGCTCCGGTTATCTCCCGCTTGGACTACTGCAATGCGCTCTGCGTGGGGCTACCTTTGAAGGTGACCCGGAAACTGCAATTAATCCAGAATGCGGCAGCTTAGACTGGTGACTGGGAGCGGCCGCCTAGGACCACATAACACCGGTCCTGAAAGATCTTTATCAGCTCCCAGTACGTTTCCGAGCACAATTCAAAGTGTTGGTGCTGACCTTGAAAGCCCTAAATGCCCATCGGTCCAGTATACCCGAAGGAGTGTCTCCACCCCCATCATTCAGCCCGGACACTGAGGTCCAGCGCCGAGGGCCTTCTGGCAGTTCCCTCATTGCGAGAAGTGAGGTTGCAGGGAACCAGGCAGAGGGCCTTCTCGGTAGTGGCGCCCGCCCTGCGGAACGCCCTCCTGTCATATGTCAAGGAAATAAGCAGCTATCTTATCTTTAAAAGACATCTAAAGGCAGCCCTGTTTAGGGAAGTTTTTAATATTTAATGCTGTATTGTTTTTAACATTCAATTGGGAACCGCCCAGAGTTGCTGGGGAAACTCAGCCAGATGGGCGGGGTATAAATAATAAATTCGTCTTATTATTATCCACTTTTCTTCTTTGGCTCTTTAGAGCCTGCCGACTTCCTTCCCTCCCGCCTGGCCGCGTGTTCCAAAGATGGCTTTCCAGAGTCCAACTATCTTCCCCAAGAGCCTCATCAGTTCCATAAGACAAACTGTGAGTCCCAGAAAGTGGGGAGGGGGCAATTTTACAAAACAGTATGGCAATTATATTGTAAGTCTCTGTGAGTTTGCATTTTGTAAACAGAGTGACTAATTAGCCGAATAAATAAAAATAAAACAACTAAATCCAGTTGGCCCACACTTCTTTCTTCCCTGAATGTATTTACATATATATTTCCAAAAGTACTTGCATACAGTTATATCATAGAATACTGTATTAAATGTGTTTGTGGGAGAGTGATTAAGGATTTGTTTTATTAGGTATTTTGTTTTTGTTTTACGATGTATTTTGAATTCTCATTTTGTCTTCTGTTATCAACCACCCTGGGATCTTTGGATGAAAGGCGGAATGCAAATTTAATAAGTGCATAAATAAAATAGATATCAAAGCATTTTGCAGGAATATCTATACACAATAAAAAAAATAGAATTGGAAATTGCAGAAAGATGATTTCTTAATTGCCTGCATAAGATTGGTGGCA